TGAGATGAATTATACAGGTCTAATAATGCGAGTATATCAAGATATTAGGGGGTTGCTACTATAAGAATTCAAACTGAAAGAGGCACCTGAACACTTTGATTTAAATGTTTGTTAAATTATTAAAAAAACACTGAAAATTCTTGATATAAATCTATCCAAATGTTTATTAAATTATAATATTCGATTTTAAAATTACCTAAGGGCAAGTAATGTTTAAATTTGGTGATATTTGATGTGTATCAAATGTGCATGATATTTTAATTTTATTTTTATATAATTTAGAACATTTTTTTTTTATTTTTTTGGGTATTTGTCATTGTCTATGCCTATGGAGCAAAAGAACTCCAAACAAGTTGAACTGGCACCCACGCACTAGTTTTGGGCACTGAGTTGCCAGTCATGAGTGCCCAGGAACTAGGTTTAGGTTCCCAGCCACCAATTTTGGGCGCCCTGTCACCTGTATCTATAGGATTACAGTTCGACGTCTCAAATTGCATCGTTTCAAGTAGGGAAGGTTAAATGTGCATCTGTTGAACCATTTAAGGGTATCTAGTGTCAATTAGAGGGCTCTAAAACTTGTCCAAGTGTGGAGAGATCCTTATGAGGAGAGTGTGTGAAGATTTTGTGTGTAAATTGCTCAAGTAATCTAGTGAAACTTATGGAAGAAAGAAGTCTAATGGAGCATCTTCTCAAAAAATTTTATCTGGTTTTTCATTACTAACTCTTTATATTTTGATTTGTTTTGATGAATGAAGTGTTTATTTTGATGTTTCAAACTATGAGTAGCGAAATGAATTGATAGCTTAAGTATTTTGTGTTAATGTGAATAATGTGATTGAATTGAAATTGCAAGGAGGTGAAAGGTTAATCTTCTGTACTTCATTGACTTTTAATTTGACCACTTGTTACATTAAAATGTCTTGTAATCTTAGGGTAGTAGAACAAATTAGGTTAACTTACATTGACTTGAGACAATAAGAATATTGCTTCTAGATTAATATGATTGTGTATAGAAATACAGGATCCGAGTATAATCACCTGATTTAAGGAACAAAACATGGATGATTTTCAAACCTTTATACAAGTCTGGAAGAGGTTAAGGATGAGAGTTGTCATTGATTGCCACCCATAAAAATTTCTGTTAAGATTTTAAGTGATAATGTAAAAAAAAAAATTTATTTGTACCTTGTCAAACATATATGACACAAAACCGAAAACTTCACCAGTCATTTTGTTTCGATACTCCATCCCAAACTAAAGTAGTTGAAAGAAAAAATAGACATCTTCTTGAGGCGACTAGGACTCTTTGTTTCAAACAAATGTGCCTAAACAGTATGGGTTTATGCATTCTTTACTGCATATTTTTTTATCAATCGGGTGCATTCTAGCGTCCTACATAATCAGACACCTACCAAGTTTTGTTTTCAACCAATTCTCTAATTCCTATTGAACCACACATATTTGGCTGTACTTAATTTATTCATGATACCCATCCAGAGTGTCTAAACTTGACCCAAAGTCATTAAGGTAGCTTTCTAGGATATTCACATCTGAAAAAAAGGGTATCGATATTTTCCCTCTTACACAGGTGAACATTGTGGGTAGCAAAGTACCTCGCCCCATTGTATGGTCTAGCACCTTATCTTCTTTTGAGAACCATTGTCGATTAGAGCATGTATCGCTATTAATGTTCAAAATATTGCACCCTCAGTTTCAACAGTTATCATTTTTAGATTGCGAATCGTGTCAATTTGCTAAACACTATCGTTCGTTCTCAGTTCCTACAATTAATAAAAGAGTTGTTCATAGTTTTGAATCGGTTCATTTTGATGTGTGAGGACCTTATTATGTTTATCTAATGGATTTTGGTATTGTCACTCTTGTAGATAATCTTTCACGTATGAATTGGATTTACTTTATGAAATCATGTTTTGAATTATTGTCACTTTCAATCTTTCTGTGCCAAAATTAAAACTCAATTCAATATTTCTATTAAGGTTTTGAGAAAATAAAATACCAAAGAATATTTCTCTGCACATTTTCAAACATATATGACACAAAACGGGATGTTTCACCAATCATTTTGTTTCGATGCTCCATCCTAAAATGAAGTTGTTGAAAGGAAAAATAGAAATCTTCTTGAAATGGCTAGGGCTCCATTATTTCAAACCAATGTATCTAAACAGTTATGGGTTGATGAAGCCTTTACTACGTGTTTTTTTAACCAATTGGGTGTTCTCTAGTGTCTTACAAAATCAAACACCCTACAAATTTTTATTTTCAGCTAACTTTCTCTTTCCTATTAAACCATACATATTTGGATGTACTTATTTTGTTCCTGATACTCGTCCACGAGTGTCTAAACTTGACCAAAAGTCACTAAGGAGTCTTTCAAGGATATTCTCATATGCAAAAAAGGGTGCTGATGTTTTTCCCTCTCTTACACAGGTACATGATATTTGTTGATGTCATCTTTCATGCACAAACCCTCTTCTTTGGTAATCATCGGTGTTTAAATCATCACCAAATTCGGATGAGTTGTTAATGTATCACATCATAAGTTCAGATCTTGCTCCAACTCCATCTCCAATATCTTAACCCAAACCATTTATCACTAATATTTATTTGAGAAGACTTCGCTCACCATCCTTGTCTGGCATTGGTATAATGTTCCTCTGCGAAACCTCTTCCTAGTGATCTTGATTTTCATATTGCTCTTCGAAGAGATAAATGTCAATGTGTTTATCGTATTTCATCTTGTATTAACTATAATCAATTATCTTCCACTTCATGCTCGTTTGTTGCTTCTCTTGACTTCGTTGAGGTTCTAAGATCATTACAGTAAGCTTGACCCCATTCTAGGTGGAGGGCATCGATGTTTGATGAGATGAATGCCTTAGCAGAAATTAGAACTTGGGAACTAGTTTAACTACCTAATGGTAAGAAGGTTGTTAGTTGTCAGTGGGACTTTGCAATTAAGTTTCATTCTGATGGATTTGTATCACATCTCAAAATTCGGTTGGTGGCTAAGGACTATGCTCAAATTTATAGGGTCAGCTACTTAGACACATTCTCTCTAGTAGCTAAATTAACTTTGGTCTACCTACTCCATCCTTAGCTGTAATGAATAATTGCCCCCTGCACTAGCTGTATGTGAAAAATGCTTTATTGCATGGAGATCTATTGGAAAAAGTATACATGGAATAATCTTTTGGGTTTGTTGCTCAGGAGGGAGTATGGGAAAGTATATCTTTGGAAGCCTTTATATATAACAAAGCAAAGCCCTCGAGCTTGGTTTGAAAATTTTAGCCAAGCAGTAGAAAAGTAAAAGTGATTACAATGTATTCTATAAACAATCTACATTAAGAATCATTATATCGATTGTTTATGCTGATGTTATTATTATTACTAAAAATGATGTGCAAGGAAACTTATCATTGAAATTATTTCTTCAAAATTAGTTTAGCACTAAAATCAAAGTTCCATGAAATACGTCTTGGGGATTGAGATATCAAGGAGCAAGAAGGGTATATTTTTATATCAATGAAAGTGTGTTTTGGATTTCTTACCAGAAGCAAAGAAAGTAGGGGCCAAATTATGTAGTACTCCAATAGTTCCTAATTAGCAACATACCAAGAATTGAAAGCTTTGTAATGATTATGAGCAATATAGAAAATTAGTGGGGAAATTAAACTATATCAAAGTGACTCATCTTGACATTGCGTATTCAATTAGCACTTCCCTACAGTCCATCATTGGTCAGCTGTGGAACATAATACATGTTACCTCAAAGGAGCTCCTGAAAAAGAGATTTCATATTAGGATCAAGGGCATTAAAATATTGAATGTTTCTCTGATGCAAATTAGACAAGTTTCAAGATCAACCGAAGATCCATTATTGGATATTATGTTTTTATTAGTTGTAATTTGATCTCATTGAAGAGTAAGAAACAAACTGTAATTTCGCAATTGTAAAAAATTTGAATATCAAGCAATTGTAAAAAATTTGAATATCAAGCAATTGCACAAGCTTCAAGTATATTGATATGGGTCTTCCAATTCCTGACTGAAATGTGTTTTATGATGACCACTCCATCAAAGTTGTGGTGTGATAACCAGACTAAAATTCAAACTACTTCAACCCCTATCTTCCATGAACGAACGATGCACATTAAAATAGATTGTCATTTTGTTTGTGAAAGGATTTAACAGATTTTGATTTCTACAACTCAAAATTAAAAACTGGGAACAATTATGGTACATCTTCACAAAAGCTCTTAATGGAGAGAGACACTTATATTTGTAACAAGTTGGACATGATAAATATCCATACTCCAACTTAAGAGAGACTATTATGGAAAATACTAAATATTAAGTGGCTTATAAATCAAGAAGTTTGATATTAAATAAGCTAATTAGAAGAGACTTAACGTCAGATCTTTTCTACATTAGGTATATTCATAATATGTAGAGAGTGTCTTTTAATATGTAACAAATGATTTCAATTGAGAAATAAGAAGAAAGAAAGTTTTAAGCTCGCAAAGAGCAAATTGAGACAATTTGGAATCAAACAAGACAAATTCAATGACAGGTAGAAAAATACCACACAATAAGCTTTAAAAGTGAGATATAAGGTCAACTCCCAAATGTTATACATTTTAAAATAAAAGCCACATCACACCTATGTCAACTACATAACGTACAAAAACTGCAAATAGAGAACCAAACTAACCAGGTTTGCAGAAAAATAAAGCCTAAATCCTCCGAGAAGCCATAAAAGTCCCAAAATAGAGAAAAAAAAAACTTTAAAAGTCCCACAGCATAGTTATCAGAATAAAATAATTTTTAGTTATAAACCAACCCGTGAATCTCCCTCAAAGAATTCTCTCATAATGAAAACATTAAATAATAGAAGGCTAACCATACAACATCAACCATATAAAAGAAAGTATAGTTACTCAAACTAGCTCATAGACAACAATTTTAAGGAAGCATGAAGGTCAAACCCACATGTAATTTAAAAATGAAGAGTAGAACTAATATCCCTTAATCATAAGCTCAAGTTTCAGATCGATTGGCACTCATCTATTACCACATCATGCATCCCAACTAAGACGACAAATCATTCAAGCTTAACATTGCGGAAAAGGAATATCCGACAGCGACGATGCGGAAAGTGTAATTTAATGAAAGTCTAAATTCCTTTTTAAGGAAAGAACTTGGTAAAGAAAGTTGACAACAAACAAAATTAAGATGCTTACCATAAACCAGTATTTACAAGAACATGTTTCACCAAAGGAACTCGAGTATGTACAATCCACATCCCATCAACTGCAGTAAATAGCTTGATCTATTTGGGGGGGAATCTGCTTTATTTCAGTCCCAAGCTCTTGTTCAATCCTATAACTGTTATTGAAGAAAGATAATTCTGCTATAAATAAAGGTGGGAATGAATATAAATATATAAATATATACATATATAATCAGATATCATACAGGTTGAAACGGTCTTCATAGGTGATCAAACTGACTGCTAAGCCAAGGTGGCCAAACCTCCCTGAGCGACCAACCTAAAATGGTAAGACATAATTATGGAAGATGAACAGCATCTTGGTATCTCCAACAAAAATACATTCGATTTTCCAGACACAAAAAAAAAAAATCAGAAGAATAGATGAGGCAGCAAAATCCCTGCCAAGGAAAGAAAAATACCCTATGCAAGTATGTTTCTGAGTTCTTAGGAAAATCAAAGTTGATGACCACATTAACGGCCTGAATGTCAATCCCCCTCGTGAATAGATCTGAAGGAAGAAGAAACAAATCATATCAGTACACGAGACTAAAAACTATTTTTAGAAACAAAAGAAAACATAAAAAAAACAATAAATAAAAAATAAAATTGATCACAAAAAAGGCCATTACTATGTTTTTAACATGCTTTTATTTTTGTTTCTAAAAGCCAAATTAACATGTTCTGAAAATATTTAAAATAATTTTTTGGTGTTTTTGAGTGTTTTTAAAAATAATTATAATTTGATCAAATAGCCAGAAAAGTTTTGTTTCAAATGAAAATATAAACAAAACAAAATAAAAATAAAAATTGATCCCAAAGGATAAAAATGTTTTCATATTCCAATTACAAGGTCATTGCCTAAAACTAAAGACCACACAATAGAAATAGCAAGTAATTTGCAAAAAATATATATATTTAATAGAAGAAGGTTTAGCAACTGATTTTTATTGGTAAATTTAAATGGGCAGACCATTAATGAGCCATTTACATACTCAATTTTTTATCAATCTACATATCTAACACTTCAATTTTGCTTTTACATTTATAACACCCAATCTTTCATACCACATAAAACAAACCACCATTTTAACTTTTTAACACACCTTTTTCATGCATAGTTAAGATATTGTATGTAGAAGTTGAATTTTAGGTGTTAGATATGTAAATACATTGAGTGGTATGTATGTAAATCTAACAAACATTAAATGCACCAGCCCCTCCGCACCACCAGTAAACAAAAAGACAGACATGCTTAAATGAAAGAAATGATGGAACAGGCAATACGAAACCAACTCTCAAAATAAATACAAACAAAAAGACATCCCGTCTTTAAAAGCCTTCTTTTACATGCATTGGTCCTTGCGTAATAATAACTTTTGTTGCTGGTTCCACTGTGAGACGATTTGGAGCCAAAATCAGCCAACCAATTGAAAGAGATATGTAGGAAAACTCAAATTACAACTAATTTGATTAATCTCCAACCAAACAAATAAGATATAATGGGTGATCTACAACTAGAGAGGTAGATCTACTTTTCACAAAACCTAGACGCCGCTAGGAATAGGAAGTCAAAGAAAATTGTAGAAATCCAAATATGAAAACAAACCCTACGTAATAGCCCTAATAAAATACCCCCAAAACGCATTCAAATTTTTCCCCCAAAATCTACCTAATTCCTCTCCTCGCATACGTAATTAGAAACTCTAAGGCCCCCACCCCATGGGCTGGAATTCTCCAAAGCGGAAACTGGGGCTTCCGCACCCCACGATGGGCCGGCCGGCCTAGCTAGGCCAGCAAGTTGGGCTGGATCGGGCCGGTCCGGTAGAGGCTGGCGTAATACACTAATACAAAGCTACTTCAACATTGATTCATTTCCAAGATGTAAAATCCAAATTAAATCAAAACTGGGTTACAATAGCTTGGATCTCTTTCTTTTGAGGGTCATAAAAACAATTTATTTGAAATACAAAATTCTAAACACTCGAGTGAATCATAAAGAGAAAGCACTTCCACATGAAGTTATCATAATTTACCTTTTTTTTCTCAATATTTTGTTTAAACTGTTCAAACACATTAAAGAGAGAGCACATTTGATGGATCAAGATCAGTGGGTTCTTTATGGATTTTGCGTTTTATAACTGAAGGATGATTATGTCCGTAAATGTGACTTAAACTGAATTAAGAGTGCATTATTTGGTCAAAACCTAAGAACCTAACCAAACTGAGCAAGTTGGGTTAATCAGTTTGTTTTCAAAAATGCATCTTGGTTTTGGCTTTTAAAAGTCAATATTGAATTTTAGGTTATTGGTTCAGTTTTAATTTGTATTTAACTGAATAAACCAAGATACCAAAAATTTGAAGTTAAATGAAAATTTCATAAAATGAAATTGATATCATGCAAGATAATAATTCTTGATGTTTGTTCATAACTAAACTCCTACTAACAGCAAAATTTTGGCTTGTTCACAACTGAACCATTTAACCAAATTAAATTTCAATTCAATCGGTTTAGTTTTATCAAAATTTTGATTGGTTTGATTTTTCATATTTTGGTTGCAATTAGTTTGACCAATTTAAAAGTCGAACCATCCAAACTGACCGAATACTCAAACCTAATTAGAGTGAAGTAGAGGTGAAGCAGTGTGTCTGGGAACCTTGGACTGGTTTGGTCCAGGAGTTGAAAGGGGCTGGCCGGCCCTCCTAAACCTAGGGAGTGCCGCCAAAGGGAGTGGGGCATACTCCTAATTATCCTAGTATTATATGCTTTCATTATGTTTTAGAGTATTTTTCATGTGTCTATATCAGGATGGCCATCTCAACGTCTCCTCTTCCCTTCTAGGGATGTATCCAAAGGTTTGAGTGGTGCTCTAGTTGTATCTCACTCCCAACACGATATTTATCCTTCCTATACACTTTCCCATCTTTCCCGCATCATTCCCCATCGCCCTCCCTTGGTGCAGCCTCCCAGAACAGCAAGGAGTTGTTTTCTTGCAATTTCCAGCGTTCCCTACCCCTGCTCTCAATACTTGTTGCCAATAACCCAATCCACCTGCATCTTTGCTATCATCACTTTTGACCCAACCATCCTTGTTGCTACCACCCTGGAACAGTAAACATTTATTGGTCCTGCAGTTCCTGCCCCAATTCCTAGCTACCGCCGCACAGGGCAGCCAGCTCTCATGTTGTTCCTACATTTTCTCACCTCCCCTTTGTTGCCGCCATCACCCGTTACTGTTGCTTCACCATCCCTCCCTCTATCCACCCCTTTGATACCTCCTCTCCAGAGATCCAAAACCCTAGCCAACACCACTTAATCTCAAGATTTAACCTTTGGGATAGTAGTGTGTTATTGTTTGTTGCAATTTCAAATTTTTGTGTGCTTGTTGTAATTTGCTATTTGAAGTAATAACATTTGTTTTCCATTGTTGTTTGGTTAAACTCCAATATTGTTTGGTATCATTTGATATCAGAGCTAGTATAACTCAAGTTCCAATCAAGAGTTACCAAAATCCACCAATACTTAACCCAAACTATACCCAAAACCTTTTCCCCTTGCTTATTTTCAAAATCTGCTTTTTTTTGCACTCTAAATTAGCCTCATATACCCTCGTTCACCTCTCAGACCTAAACCCTAGACATGTCACCGATGAGACAATTGTTGGAAATTTGATCGCGATGAAATGGCACAATATCACATATGAGAAATCCAGGAACTTTCAATTGAGAAAATGCAGCAGGAAATACTCCAACTACAACAGAGGCTTGTTGCATTTAAGAGGAGACAATCCGAAAAAATCACCGTAGCCACAACAGGGATTCGTCAGATCAAAAGGATGAAGTGAATCCCTTCCACCAGGCAGTTTCCATTGAGAAAAGAACCACTCCCCCAACGATTTCGCATGGAATAGCAACGGAGAAACCAGGATCTTCAAGTAAATTGGGATTTATCAGATTTTTGACAGTCACATGGATCAAAAGGAATTTGAAAGGCTCCAAGCAGTGGAGCGTGTCTTTGAATGCAACGATATTTCACCATACATAATGGTAAAACTAGTCGCCATCAAGTTAGAAAAAATATGTTGTTGTGGTTGAAGATTTTGAAGCACTTAGGCCAACATATAGGAAAAGGCATAATTACCACCTAATCCAAGATGAAAAAAGAGATGCAGTGTAACTACCTACCACACATTATAGGCAATATTATGTTCTTAATACTTCACCAGTTACAACAACATCATCGGGTGACCACCATATCTGACAGGCAAAATTCAACCCCCGTATCAAGCAACAAGAAAACACCCAATGGAGCATCCATGTAGAACATATTTAAGAATAAACTTTCAGAATGGAGAACAGGTGAAGCCAACCAGCATTCCCAAATTTGTCCCAGCCATAAAGTGCATCAAGTGTCACGGTTTTGGACATAGTGCATAAGATTACCCACACGAGAGTATGATCTATTTTACTATGCAGTGAGTGGTGGAAGAAATGGACAGTAATATAGGAAATGATGAAGATTCCCGAGAGGAACTTCAACTTCCAATTGACGAGGAAGAGACACTGGTGACTCAAGCTAAGCCCATGGGGGAGATTACCGATGGATTAACATTGATTGTTATACAAAATGGTGAGTCCAATGAGCTGATACCTAAAAAGGGAAAGAATTGTCAAACATCACGACCAACGTTTTACATATTGGTGATTGCCACGGAAAGTAGTCCAACATGACACAGATTTCATTCCAGAATTAGTTCCTCCAAACGAAATTATTTATTAATGCGCCCAGCCGAGTATGAAGAGTGGAAGAGGCAAATTATAGATTTAATGGCTCGATGGTTACTTTGTGGGAATCTACGTCTATATGCAATTCTAGCTTAGGTTGTGCCAAAAGATGATTGATACTTATTCTATCAGGGCATGCTTTGGAATGACAACGCCTAAAGGATTGACTTACCGGGAGATTCCATCATTTCTATTACCTTCAACGTGACCGACTTGAATCCATATCATGAGACAAATGCTTCGACGATGATGTTGAAGCTCTCCCAACCCCGGAAGATTGACGTGGGGCATCTTAGAACCTCGGACTAGTTTAGTATAGAAGTTGGGCAGGGTTGGCCGGCCTACCTAACCCTAGAGAGTGTCGCCCAAAGGACTGAGGCCCACATCTGGCTATCTTAGTACTATATATTTGCTTTCATAATGTTTAGGGTTAGTCTTCCCATGTCTTTGCATCAAGACAGTCGTTGGCATCTCTTTTTCCCTTCTAGGATTATATCCAAGGGTCTGCGTGGTGCTCTAGATGCACTGGCTCCCGAGATAGTGTTTATCCTTCCTCTACCCTTTCCCATTTTTCTCGCATCGTTCCCCATCGCCCTCTCTTGCTGCAATCACCCGAAACAGCAAGGAGTTGTTGTTTTCCTGCAGTTTCCAGCTTTCCCAGCAGCCTCCTCCCTTCCATACTTGTTGTTGTCACACCAAACCATCTGCATCTTTGCTATGATCGTT